ATAAGATTGTTTCGTTCTTTATTATATTTACTACAGTGAAATAAAATATGTTCTATTGTTTCTTGTTGATTACAATGTATACATTGCCCAGTTGGGTGTTTCCCTATTTTATGTAATGTATGATTGAGTCCAGTGTGACCTATTCTCATCCGAGTTATAATACTTCCTTCCCTACGATTTCTGTTCTCCTTCCTCCCAGTTCCAACTTGTTTCTGTATATTATATAAATGTCTACCTGTATCAATGTTATCCCAGTGTACTTGCCATATTGATTGTGCATATGTTCTTATCATGATTTTAGCTTCTGCTTTGCTCAATGGGACTTCTAGATTTACTTTACTAATTCTGAGAGCTTGTTTGGCCAGAAAGTCTGCCTTCTCATTACCTTCCACACCTACGTGAGCAGGAACCCAAATGAAATATATTGATTTGCCCTTCATTTTAATATAATATGTCTTACTGAGTATATTATTAAGAATATCCATTCTGTATGAAGACCTTCCAGATCTTATACTTTCCAGTGATGAAAAGCTATCTGATGCAATTACTACATTATATATGTCATTCTCCTCAATCCACTGCAGGGCAATTAGTATTGCAATTAACTCTGTTGTATATACTGATATATTATTAGTTATTCTTTTCTTAATATGGTATTGATTAACTGGGATATACACTGCTGCGCCTGTATGGCCTGTTTGTAGGTCTTTAGATCCATCTGTGAATAAAAATATTGATTCTTTATAATTTTTTTCTAAATAATTCTGCACTATATATTTTGTTGGAAGAATATTATTGTTATCTTTTAACTCCTGTTGTATATTGAAATCTACTTTAGGTAATGGAAAAAACCATGGCGGAATATATGGGATTGGGACTGCCTTACAGTATTGCAGTTGATCTAATCCAATTATTCTGGCTTTTGCCTCAGCTATCCATCCGAAACTTATGAAATTAGTTTCCTCATGCTCCCAACATTCTAGTAATGTTCTTTTTGTTGGATGTGATTCAATTTGTCCCTGAATGTTAACCCAATATGCCATCATTAATTTCATTCTCCTAATGCTTAAGGGCATTTCTCCCATTTCAACCTGCATAGATGAAACTGGTGAGGTTCTAAATGATCCACTACAGATTCTAAGGGCCTGTGCTTGTAATACATCTAATTTTTTGAGGTTTGACTCTGCTGCCGACATGTAAGCTATACATCCATAATCAAAAACAGATCTCATGAGGGCCCAGTATATATTTTGTAGTGATGTTCTACTCGCTCCCCACTCTTGCCCTGACAGGCAACGAAGTACATTAACAACCTTTTTACTTTTTTCTGTGATTTTATTCAGATGATCCTTCCATGTCAGCTTTTCATCGAACCAAACCCCAAGAAACCTTACAGTTTTTACTTGTTCTAGTGGTTGTCCATATAGTTTTAAAGCGAGTGATGTGGTTTTATGCCGTCTTGAGAAACAGATGACCTGAGTTTTTGCAACAGATAGTTTGAATCCCCATTTATTTGCCCATTTTTCTACCTCAAATATTGCATTCTGTATTTTCTTTTGTACAAATGACACATTCCGACCTCTAATCCATAGTGCCCCATCATCTGCATACAATGATTTTCCTATACTTTGTTCAATCTGAGAGAAAATGTCGTTTATCATTATATTGAACAATAATGGGCTGCAAACACTACCTTGAGGAGTTCCATTTTCCACTGTGTATTCATGTGAATATTCTTTTCCTACCCTAACTTGTATTTTTCTTCCAAATAAGAAATCCATGACCCAATTATACGTTTTGCCAGTGACTCCTAAAGATTTTAATTTAATCAGCAGTCCCTCTTTCCAAAGCATATCGTATGCCTTTTCTATATCAAAAAAGATAGCTATCACAACTTCTTTGTTAGTCTGTGCTTTCCTGATGTCTGATTCCAAACATAATACTGAGTCCATAGTATTTCTGCCTCTGCGGAACCCACTCTGATATGGAGAAAAAAGGTTTTTGCTTTCTAAAAAATATGTAATTCTTTCTGTAATCATTCTTTCCATTATTTTGCATAAGTGGGATGTCAGTGAAATGGGTCTATAGCTAGAAGGATCTGATGGATTTTTCCCTGGTTTAAGTATAGGTACTACTATAGATTGTTTCCATGCTATAGGTAATTGACCCATATCCCAAATTTGATTAAATAAATTTAGTACTATTTCTAGTGATGCCTCTGACATGTGTGACAACATTTTATAGCATATTTCATCCTTACCTGGGGCAGTTTGTCTTGCGCTAATGATTGCTCGTTTTAATTCAAACATATTAAATTGTAAATCTAAAGGATTTTCTGTTGTTTTTACTTTCTTTAAAAGATCAGGATGTTTAGTTAATGTAGTATTTCTGCATTTCCTAGCCTCTTCAGAGAGATTATCTGAACTATGTACATTTCTAAAATGTTGGACTAATAGTTCCGCCTTTTCTAGGTTGCTGATCGCTACTATATCGCCATACTGTAACACTGGTAATTCATAATTTCGTCTAACACCTGCCATTCTTCTAATCATACCCCACACCTCTGATAATTGTACCTCTCGTCCAAGACTATTGCAATATTCTCTCCAGAATATACGCTTTTGTGTTTTAATAGTTTTTCTTAACATTGTCTGAGCCTTTTTATACATGATCATAGCTTCCAGTGAATGGTGTTTTTTAAGATGTCTAAATGCTTTATTTCTTGCTTTAATAGCTGCTTTACAATCATTATTCCACCAAGGTACATTTTTAGTACAACCAACTCCTTTACTTTTAGGTATTATTTCTTCGGCTGCTTGAATTATTTCATTAACAATTTTATTATTTAAAATGTTTACATCTCTCTGGTTTATTATTTGTATTGTCATAACTCTCTTATCACATAATTCTTGAAATTCTTTCCAATTTGCTTTCTCCAATTTCCATCTTGGAATTCTATCTTCTTTTTCATACATTATCTTTAATCCAATTTTAGTTACTACTGGGTAATGGTCACTACCTATTGTATTGTGCTTGAGTACTTTCCATGTGCTAACTGCTGCTAATGAACTACTAATAAATGTTAAGTCTAGTATGCTTTCTGTATTTTTAAAACAATTATACCGTGTGCCTTCACCATTATTTAGACAAACTAAATATTTTTCATCTATAAATTCTTCAAGAAGAATCCCATTTGCATCATTACTATTACTCCCCCATAATGAATTATGTGAATTAAAATCCCCACACCATAAAACACTGTCTTGTCGTACACCCATTACTTCTTCTAATATGTTTTGATTTAATTTATCACAGGGATTATAATAATTAATAATGTCTATACATCCTCTATCCGTCCATACCTTGATTAAAATTGATTCATACTTTGTATTTATTTGTTCTATCCTAAACTTCATTCCGCTTTTTATAAATGTTGCAATTCCTCCTCCTCTGCTATGATTCCTATCATTTCTAACTATATTATATCCCTTAATATTAAAATCTAATTGAGGTTTTAACCATGTTTCTTGTATGCATATTATATTAGGTTTCTCTATAATATTATCAATATATTTTTTAAATTCTTGGCCATTTGCAATTAAGCTTCTTGCATTCCATTGTAGAACGTTTAACATTTAAGACGTTCCACCCCCAGGCTGGGATGATTGTGTATCTTCATTTAAGATGTCCCTAACCGTTTCCCAGAGCAGATCCTTCACATCCAGGTATTTTTCTGCTGATTTGATTATTATTTTGATTCTTTCATTTCTACTTTTCGTTTGAGCGGAACAATTTATTATCTCTGCCATGAATATTACAAAATCATTTTTGCTCACTATCAGAGTTTCCGCTTTCAGTTGTTCACATTTTTGACATGTCTCTGCATTTTTGTTCCTGTTTTCATTTTGTTTAGACACAGTCATAATTTCTGGAACCTTTTTTAATGCTTCCGCATAGCTGATTCCTTGAACAGCTTTTACTCTTTGTACTTCTGCCTGCCTTTTGCTAACCTCACACCCTCGATACGCTGAGCTATGATCCCCTCCACAGTTGCAACATTTCAACTTTGCACCCTCTTCACATTTTCCATATTCGTGTTCCCCACTACATTTACCACACCTTTGCTTTCCCTTGCAAAAAGCTGCTATATGTCCAAATCTCTGACATTTATAACACCGAAGGGGCGGGGGAATGTACAGTCTTACATCATAGCACATATACCCGATTAATATCTTTTTCGGGAGTGTCTCCTCATCAAATGTGACCATAACAGAAAGACTATCACAAGCACTTCCATTTCTGTTTGTTCTTAAGCGTTTAGCTTCGACCACATTTGCATTTGTTATGCTTGCTTTCACTTCATCTGCCGAAACATTGACAGGAATTCCTGTCACAACGCCTTTAACATATCTTTTCCCGTTTGTCTTGGAACATTCTACTTTTTTTCCATTGATTTTATTCACCTTAATTGCTTTAGCTTGCTGTTTTTCATCTTTACAGAAAATCAGTATCGATCCGTTTCTCAAGATTTTTGCACTCTTTATTATACCTATTTCCTTATGCAGTGTTTTGGTTAGTTGTATCGGATTCATACCTCCAAATGTATCCCCTTCTTGCACAGGTTTAGCAAATACCTTGTATTCCACTGTCACCGTTTCCTCTAGGGCTGAGCATCTATCCGAATCACTTTCATCAGATTTATTTCTTCGTTTCTTTTTCCGTTTGTTGTTTTTAACCATGTCCCATTTTTCATAGTTCCCGCAAACTACTTCCATATCTCCTACTTCATTTCCTGATTCGTCACTTCCGTCTGCATTCTCCTGTCCACTCACATTCCAGTTGTTGCCAACCGCCTTGGAGTCTATCCGCCTTGCCATCCTCCAGCACTCGCTCTCTACCGGAACGATAGACCAGAAACAAGAAATACACAGAATTAGCCCTTACCAAAATGGCCGCAGTTCCAGGTCGGGTATTTTTCACTGGCAGGCGTAACTTCCGCTCTCAACTCCTCCTTTGTCTGAGTCCTTTCGGTCCTCCGCCTTGATATTTATTTATTTCCTTTTCGTTAGTGGGGTATATTTATATATATCCTTATCTCTCGGTTATTGAATGACATTCGATTCCGAGACATATATGCCTAAAAGCAAAGCCCCCAAGATGGATGATCTGGACTACAGTAAGTATCGCTGTTTGGCGTTGTGTTTAGTGCCGCATCGCCGCCGCTGTTTCCTTATAACATATATACACACGCGAGATGTGGAGAGGTTTCAGGTAGAAGTGCTGTTTATTTCTTTTGTTAAACATTTGAAGCCTGAATCAAATATATTGCTGTCACATGTCGAATTTGTGCAGCGTAGTATGTCGTTCAGCAGTCATTGTTCTGCATTCATTCATGTTTGGCCTCCTTCGGTTGTTTACATCTGCTCTGTGTCTGTTTGCTTTTATCAGAGGCTGGTTATATTGTTGTCAACGCTGTGTATTTAGCATGAGTGTCATAGAGAAATCGTGTGACAGTTTGCCACTTCATCACACATTTAGAGTATTAAAAGAGCCCTTTTGTCTCTGTCGTTTTAAAGGAGTCGTTATTTAACAGATACTGCTTTGTCTGTTCATTATTAGTGAATTGTAAGCTTTATTTGGACACACAGGTCATCATTCTGTTAATAAACTGAAGGCTTGTGTTCAGACTAATATGGAAATCTGAGACCTTATTGAATAGAAGAGATTTAACGAAGAAAGAAACCCTGATGAACCCATAATGGCTATTTATATGATTAATTAATCAAAGTGAGAAAATCATGTTAGTAACCAATGGCTATCAAAGTATGGCATTGATAGCAGCGTTTGTTGATTAAATAGTGCATAGATGAGTTTTATATTCGCACATTTGTTCATTTAGCAGTCTCTGTATTGTTTACCATGATACTTTAAATATTCAAGCAGAATTAGCATGCAAGTATGATTCTAAACAGCATTATCACTATCAGTAATTCACTGTGAACAATGTTGTACTCGGATAACTTAAGCATTTGCTGCTAATGTGATTTCCCTATTTAGCTTTTGCAAAGAATACTTTTCTGAAATTATATTATTAAGGAGAAACACAACAAACTAAACACAAGCCTTTAGTTAATTAATAGAATGATGACCTGTTTGTCCATATTTAGCTTACAATTCACTAATAATGAACTGACAAAGCAGTATCTGTTGAATAACGACTCCTTTTAAACCGACATGCAGTCTTCATATTTTGTCTCTCTCCATCTTCTTTTTTATTGTAATGAAAACAAAACTGGAGCTACATGAAAATGACTTCCCAGTTTAGTTGTCTAATAAACCTGGATTTTCATATTGTGATTATTGTTTGCTTTTTATTATAATTAGTTAACGAGTAAACAATATTCATAATATGCAATTTCAGGTTTGTTAGACAACTAAATTAGGACCTAATTGTTATGTAGCTGCTCCCATTACAATTAAAAATAAATAAGTGTGTGTGTGTGTGTGTGTGTGTGTGTGTGTGTGTGTGTGTGTGTGTGTGTGTGTGTGTGTGTGTGTGTGTGTGTTTTCACCAAAATATGGAAACTGCGAAACTGTTTTTGGGTTTTTTGGTGTAAGCAAGTGTTTTACATTACTTAGGAAATACTTAAAAATGCATCTGTCAATGTTTTCAAAGTATTGTATTTGATTTACCAAAGTCACACAAGTGGCAATTTCACATCGTTCACATCCATAACGAAGACATGTCACATCCATAACGACACTTTTTCCACATAAATGTGAAAATATTAAATAAAATAAAATCAATTATGTTTGTTTTTATAGAGAACCAACTCTTATCCTTTTGATTAGCATTGTTTCTTTGTGGTTTAATTCACAGAATTTTTACAAAGGATGTTGTATACTGTAAACCCGCAGACTTTTTTGTCACATCCATAACGCATGTTTATTTTCATTGTTTAGTACAAAATATGTTTATGGATTGATCTTTTTCTGGGGCCTGTTTCAGAAAGAAGGTTAAGTGAAAACTCAGAGTATTTTAACCCTGAAATGAGAGAAACTCTGGGTTTTCCGTTTCAAAATGGCAGGTTTGTTAAACTGGAGAAAGCAGGGTAAGTCAAGCCTGTTTCTGAAAGAGAGGTAACTTTAACTCAGAGTCAGTTACTGTGGTAACTTACTCTGTGAACCTAACCTGGTCTGGAGCAGGTTTTAATCTCTAAACTCAGAGTTTCTGTCGGTCTCCTCCCCTTTTTTAAAGATGAAGTGGTATTTCTCGCCATAGCCTTGCGTTTCCACCCACCTATTTTAATGCTCATTTTGGATATGTGCATAAAAACGATTGATAGAAACGTCATGATGCACATAACTTTTTAAAATATGCATAAAAAACATGCATAATTGAGCAGGATAAACTTTTATTCGATAGAACATAATCACATAAAATACGATGTAAACACTTTTACTGAACAAATTACAGTATGTACATTAAAAAAAGGTCATGATCATATGATTATGAAAATGTGTGTGAATGAACAAACCAGCAGGCTGAGTACACTGTAACACGTCTTAAATGTTGTTTTAGTCATTCTAAAATGAATTAACTGTTTCAGTAGTGTACATTATTAATTACCTCAGAGCGTCTCATGGCTTCAAACACCCCCACGTGTTCATTGTGTTTCAGCATTGTCTTCTGACATGGAGGCGCAAGTACATTAATTAAATAAAGAAATAATTTACACAGCTTCTTCTACCACAGTAAATTCTGTTTTTACTGTTGATATTTTGGTGCCAGTTTAATCAAGAAGTGACGATTTTTTTCTCTTTGACTCGTTAGATGGAATCTCTGCTTTATTCACAACTTTTATGCAATATTCCAGTTTTGCACATACAATTATGTAATATATTTGGATGGAAACATAGCTATAGCCTACATTTTAGTCCCAGACAGAAGAACTGTACGATAATGGCTTATCCTTTTTTAATAAATAATTAAATTAAATTCACCTTCGACATGCACTGTAACTAGATTAATGGGATTATTATTCTTTCTAAAAATAATTTTTAGTACTGCTTACCTTCTAAATGTTATATCAACCTCTATCACTTGATCAATAAAAAAGGCAGACACACAAGTGCACTGTTAAATCTATTAAAACTGATAAATGTGTATAAAAGTTTAGAAAAAAATTATAAACGTCACACATTACATTACTTATTTTATTATACTTAAATATTTAAATACTTAAAAAGTGAAATCAAGCATTAACTTGAGCAGCTGTTTTCCCACGCTAACTGTCTCTGCTTTACTGATGGTTGCTTCTTTTCAAATACAAATGCTCATATATTTGCTATTACTTTGCATGAGAACATCAAGTTCAGCTGGAGAAAGAAATGGTGATCTCTTTTATAAGATGTTGCCATAGTCACTCGTAATGTCTGCGCTCCATTGATAATGCCTTTTTATAGTCACGGTGCACGCGCTTAACTCTGAGTTGGTCTACTCGAAGTTGATTGACCCAACTCAGATCAGCTGTTCTGAAACCGAAAATTCAGAGTTTTTAATCTCTCGGTAAATCAACTCAGAGTTCAAGTTTAAACTCTGAGTTGGTTGGACCTCCTTACTGAAACAGGCCCCTGGTCCCTTAACTCTGTGCTCAGTTGTTCTGGAAAATATAAACAAAAGTTTCAATATAATTTTAACATGTACTTTCTATGCTTATTTATGTTTTATATAAATAATAGTGCAAATAACATGAAATTATATTATTCGTATAATTAAATTGTTTTGTTCTTTAAGTTCATTCGTTTTTTTTTATTGGTGTAAATTCATGTTCAAATTGGTCAAATTTTCACGATCATAAAATCTATTTATATTTTAAAAAATCTTTCATAAAATAGGCAAAATATATCAATATTGATTTCAGAATACATAAAAGATTTTATTTTTGTCACGATACTGAAATTTGGTACCAATCGGTACTGAAATTTTCTCGCAAACCTTTGAGCGCTGTTAATTTTTTAAAAAAAGCTACATGGGATGACGCTATCATAATCATGGGGTCGGTGCAATATCAGAAAGTAATCCCTCTTTTTCAATACTGAATTGATGCAGATAACATGTTTGGACTTTCAGCAGTGAAATTTAAACCACGCTAAACTGAACTTCCACTCTGAAAACTGAACTGACACAGTTTCAGTTTACTAGAACTTTAATGTTAAGCTGCTTTTACATTGTAACACATGTATCTGTGTTACATTTATCTACATTGTAAAAGCGCTACATAAATAAACATGAATTGAATTGAATAAGCAGCCTCAAAAGATAAGTGAATTGAAAATGATTGAAAATACACAGATTTTTAAACTAAATTTATGCAATGAAAAGTATTCAAGCTTTCATATAATTTTGGCACAAACAAGTAAAGCAGCGAAAGATTCAGGTTTTTCTATTTAATCTAAGGCTGCACAATATATCGTTTCAGCATTGATATCACAATGTGTGTGTCTGCAGTAGTCATATCGCAAGAAATGCAATGTTGAGTTGGGATTATCAGCACAATAATTGAGAATACGTGAGATTTGTGGAGTCATCACAAAGTTTAACAATAACAGGGTGAAATATTTTCATTTTGCATGTTTCAAAGGAGTTTCAAAAGAGTTTAAAGCATCCAGGCACAAACATTTGCAACATTTGTAACTTTAATGTAGAATATTTGTACTGAATTCTTAAAACAATGAAGATTAAAACTTTTTTTAATTTTTAAATTAAAAGTTTTTTTTTATTTCTGTACCTGAATACTGTTTAACTCTCTGGAAAACCACAAAGCACTGTTTATTTTACTTTTTTCTTTGCTCTATTGTAATTCTTCTTGCTTGATTATTATTATTTTTTTACAATTCACACCTTTACAAAATCACCCCAATCAATCTAAATTAAGGATAAAACTATAATAAATGAATGAAAATGCATGAAATGCGGTGCAATTGGTAAAAGTGATTGGTATGTTTTGGGTTAATAAATTACATTTGTATTCAAATTAGCATCACATTGTCACGCTGTGTCTGTTTGCTTTTATCAGAGGCTGAATAAACTTTCAGTGCTGTGCATTTAGCTTTAGTGTAGCGGAATTGTGTGCAACTTCATTGCACATCTTGGATTTTTAAGAGAGCCTTTTTATATCAGCCATTATTTAACAGATACTGATTTATCAGTTTATTATCAGGGAATTGTAAGCTTGATTTGTTCACAGAGATCATAATACAATAAAAAATATATAGCCAAATCCTCATATAATTACTGTGGGGAAATACAACTGTAGTAAAACAATAAAAAAGTCAAGTTTATATATTTTAACAGTTCTTTTTTTATATATATTTGCAACTGCAGTTTAATAAAACTTTGCCTTTTTTATAAAAATGCATGAAATGGGGTGTTGTTGGGCAAAGTGATTGGAGTAATTATATACATTCATGTTAAAATTATAAAGCTAATGAAGTAAAATCAATATATAATGGACGAAATGGTCATTAAAATAGATAAATGGGCAAAGTATTTATGTTTATCATTACCATTTTCATTTCATTACCGTTTATCATTATCATTTTCAAAAAAAAAAGGAAAAAGCAGTTAGAAGTGGCATGTTTTGTGGTTTTCAGATTGTGTAAATGCGTTCTGAGGGGCGTCACATACGAGCCTCCGGCTGCAGGCCTGTGTTTTCAGAGCTGCCGAGGGTTTTGTCTTGTTCTGTCTTGCTCACTTTAAATCTCCCAAACACCAGCTGGTGTCGTAAGAGTCGCCCGTTCGCACACAGATGATCTAAATGTAAACTTCACCAGTATGTAAACTAGGGCTGAGGTATTGAGGAAAAATGCATTGCTATAGCATACTAAATAACACACCCTCTGAAAGACTGTTCAGGCATTGAGCTTAGATATCACATCTCTGACACCAAGTGGAGTAAACATGCTGTTTTACTGTCCAGAAGTCTTAAACAATTCTAGTCTGGATGCTGAATTATGAGAAACAATTAAACCATGTGATGTAAGAAATAAAACAGCAAAAAATTAACTCTTTAGTTTGTGTGGCTTTGATATTTATTGTTGTTTGTTTACATTTGATAAAATATCTGATTTGTTTTATGCAACAGTCAAACATGGCTGTTCACTTTCAGATGTTGTAGTGATGTTTTTTTTCTGAAATAATGTTAAACGTGTGTTAAATAATTCTCAGTATTACAATAATAAACAATATTTTTAAAAATGATATGCACTTAAATTAGTTTTGCTTTAAATTAGACATGGGTCGGTAACCGTGTTCAAGGTATACCGCGGTTTGGAAAACTCAAGGTTTTAAAACCGTCAAAATTTTCTGCTATACCGTTCCTACGGTATGAGTAAGATTTTTTTTATTTACTTTTTACTTTTTATTTTTTTAGGACAACAGTATCTCCAGCAAGAAAAGATATCCAAAGATGTAATTTTAAATAAAAAAAAATTGTGTTTTTGGAACATGAAGGCAGCAGAAGCCAATAATTTATTTGAAATATTCAGCCTGACATGTTTACTGCTTCAAAACATTTTAAATGTTCCTCAAATTAAAATATATTGTGTACAAAAGGGGAAAAGGTTTTGTTTTTTACCCAGACATTTAAAAAGAATATATTTTAGAGCAGTAATCTCCAGCCTGATCTCACGAGAAAACGTAAGTTTACTATGTTATGTAAGTTTATTTTGCATTACGTTTTGCCAGTTTAGTGGCTAATTCATATGAATTTGTACGAGTTCAGACGTACGAAATTGTGCAGTTTTTAAAAGGAGCCCCTAAACCCAACCGTCATTGGGGGATGAGCAAATCGTACTAAATTGTACAAATTAGATTGTACGAAATCATACGAATTAGCCACTAAATCAAAAAGTTACGAATTGCCGTGAAATTGCGTTGGTAATCTTATACCGTGAAACCGTGATATTTACATCCAAGGTTTTCATACCGTTAGAATCTTATTCCGGCCAATGCCTACTTCAACCTGCTTTTTAAAAATGAGCTAAAACTTAATGGTTTTGTGTTCAATCCACTTAAATTTGTAAAAATGATTAAGCTAGCTTAATTTGTGTTGGGACAACATAAAGGAATTAAGATACTTATTCGTTTTTACAAATATAAGCGGATTGAACATAAAACATTTTAAGTTGTCCCCAAAAAAATCTCAAGAATTGTGTTGTTTTACCTCATTTTAAAAAAGTAGTTTGAACAAACAGTAAAAGTAATATTTTGCAGTGTAATCAACATGTTTCGTGTTATTTTACCTTACCGCATCTTTACCTGGTGTAACTGCCTTTCCTGAGTACCTTTAAAGAGTGTAAAGACAATTTTGTATTATATCACTCATTTATTGCAATATATGTATCGCAAAATGCACACTTCCAATATCTCAATGTATTGCACAGTAGACACATGTCAATATTCAATAATATTAAATATATTGGGATAATGAGCATGCACAATATTAATATCATAGGCACTTCAAAGTACTGTGAATAATTATTTATTATTTATACTTTTAAACATACTTTTTTACATGATTTACATGACATTTCCAGTGGTGTTCATAACAAAAAACAAATGCTTGGAGAATGCACAATATTGATATCATGGGCACTTAAAAATACAGTGAATAAATATTTATACGTTTAAACATACTTTTTATATGATATACATTGCATTTCCAGTGGTGTTCATAACAAAAAAACAAACACTTGGAGACTTAATTAATAAATTAGATTTATAGTTTACACATGAACATTTTCACATGCTAATCTAACCTACAACATGCTAAAATATTGATTATTGTCTGTGCAGTAATATTATAAGTAGTTAGCTAATTACCCTAACTTGTTAATTAATAATTACCCTAATTAACCTAGTTAAGTCTTTAAACTGAACTTTAAGCTAAATATTACTATCTTGAAAAATATCTAGTAAAATATGATGTACTGTCATCATAAAAAGATCAAATAAATCAGTTATTAGAAATTAATAACTTCAGCTGTAGTTTAATATTGTGATAATACCTTGATTAAAACCTTTAGCTATCAATCGTAAAAAGACAATTTGATGCTGTCATACGCCTAATGCACAGCCCTAATGTAAACATTGCCTGCACATGTGCAGAGCCCCAAGCCCTCATCGATGTTTCCATATGGCATCATAAATTGAATGACATTAGACACAGGCCAGCAATTCTGGAATGTCCTGTGCATGACGAGAGATTGTTAATATGGAGAAACGAGGCAGTGAATGGTCCTCATTTGTGTCTCTCCAGTCCCAGCGGACCTAAGCCCAGAGGAGCGCTCCGAGCTGGAGGAGATCCGGCGCAGGAAAGGTGCTCTGCTGCTGGAGATCCAGAGGCTGAAGGAGGAGCTGAGAGAAGCTATCATTGAGGTTGAGGGACTGGAGACCAGCACTGAGGGCAGGTGAGCCTCTGTTTGCGCTCTCTGATAGATAACAGTCAAATAAAAACACGTCACAGGTTATCTCAGTAGGTGTGTGAACAGGACGGTCGCTGACATAAGCTTGAACTCTCTGTTATGAATGTTCAGTAGGTTTGTAGGACACTCGTTGTTGTTTTTTTACACCTCAAACATGAAAACAGTACTGACCTCCTGTCTGTTTTTGTTGTAGTAAAACATTACAAAAGAGTCGACATGTGGCCATGGGCAGGAAAAAATTCAACATGGATCCGAAAAAGGTAAGCAGAGCTGAAAGTTTGGGTTGATGAGAATTTGATTCGTTTGCTTATTTGGTCAAAAATGGTAGTATATTTATTACAATTTCAAATAAGTGTTTGCTTTGAGAATGAATGTATGTTTTATTTAAGCTTTATCTAATTCACATTTTTGGGGGGAAATAACCTATTTATTTATTTAGGATTCTTTAAAATTGTAAAATATATTCTTTATTATTATAAATAAATGTATTTATGTGATGTGTATGTGCTATAGCTTGCGTTTGTTTGTTTGCTGTTTTTTTTTATTTGTATTTATTACTGTGCTTCTCATGCGTAGACTTTACTTGGGGTATATACCAGGTATATTAACGGCTGGCCAAGTATTTATTGGCGCATCTTTTTTTTTTTTTTTTTTTTTTTTTTTTTTTTTTTTTTTTTTGTATCTTCCAAACATTCGCGATTGATAAACCAGTGGAAAATCTTCTCTTGCCCTAGAGAACGTTTCGTACTGTTGGTTTTGTGTGCACGAGGACTGTCAACACTCCCACAGACATTCTCAAGTGCTCTGCAGAGACCTATAGAGACTTGCTCTTTGGGCCCTTAAAATATGCAACCTGTCAGAGGCTCCTAAATCTCCTAAAATGTCTAGGATTCGGATTTTGCTTTCTAAAGTTGCCGTTAATTATATCCGTTTTTGCATTACGTTTTTATTTAAGCCTATTTTCGATTGGTTTCGCAGCATGCACACAGTCACGAGAGAAACATTAAACCTAAACTAGGAAAAACTTTACTAATTACTCTGGCTGCAAAATATTTGTACACTTTTAAAAGTCGTTCATGAATTAATTTGCCTTATAATTGTGCAATATTGTCTCTTTTTATTTCTTTTGTCATTACATTTTTTTTGCTGTATATTTTATTAATTTGATAATGTTAATATATTACACAGTTTATGCATATCTGAAATGCTTTGGCATTACTGTACAAAATTTTATGCCAGTAAAGCAACTTGAGAAAGAGAGAGAGAGATCATCTTTAAGTCCATGTTTGTCACCTGTCAGTGTGTGCGTATGGCACCTCAATTACATACAAGTAATAGAAATAGTGGATTTCTTTTTTATTTCAACAGCATTTTTTATAACTTTAACCCACTGAAATAAAACAGTGTATAACAGTGTCAAAAAATGTTAAAAGGTCTGTTTCAATCCAGCTACCACCGCAAGCTGAATTATATATACAGTTGAAGTCAGAATTATTTGCCCCCTTTTGATTTTTTCTTCTTTTTTAAATATTTCCCAAGTGATTTTTAACAGAGCAAGGAAATTTTCACAGTATGTCTGATAATATTTTTTCTTCTGGAAAAAGTTTTATTTGTTTTACTTTGGCTAGAATAAAAACAGTTATTAATTTTTTAACTAAATGTGTATATATATATATATATATATATATATATATATATATATATATATATATATATATATATATATATATTTTATTTTTATTTTTTTTATTTTTTTTTTTTACATTTATTAAAAACATGCAATACAATACGATCCTCTGCGTTTTAAAAAAATTGGGTTTTTATTGTCTTTACTGTCACTTCTTTCCATTTCAATTAATCCTTTTTGAATTATAGTGTTTAAATCAAATTACACCAAAATCAATCTTTACACGTGCATAAATATACTGCTATAACCACAATACATCTTGAGTACTTTTTAAATGAGGTCTAATTGTTTAATGTTTTGTCTTTTTCCTAGGGCATTGTGTTCCTAGTGGAGAACGAGCTTCTCAGACACACTCCAGAGGACATTGCTCAGTTTCTGTACAAAGGAGAAGGACTTAATAAAACTGCAATAGGAGACTATCTGGGTGAAAGGTACTGTGGAGTTCAGCTGTATTAAAGGGGTCCTTCTATGCTTTGTACACTTCTTGTAGCGCTTAATGTTGCTGTTTGAACATTACAAAGATATTCAAAGTCACTTTAGCAGAGGTTTCTCTCCTTCTGTTTCTTAACTTTATTAGAAGCCTCCATTGTAGTCCTGAGTTTTCTCATTTAATTTTTTTTTTTCATTTTATTCATGACAACTTGCTTTTGTATGATATTATTATTATTATCATCATTTATTATATTTATATTTATATTTGTTTTGTTAAAAACAAGCTTAGATTTGTCCACCTGTGGGGTTTTGGACCATATGGGGCATAGAACGTGTGTTTAGATATATATAGTTTTTTGACCACTCTTCGTCATTATTGTTAATTTATCCGTTTGCTGGAAATTAGAACTAAATTTAATAATAAAATAATAAATAAAATTAATTATGTAGACTAATAAGTGTCTTCAGTGGAGTGCGTTCAACACTGTTTTTTTATTCATGAAAGTGAAGGAGTAAGTGAAAAGAAAGTGCAAGTAAGGAGGCCAAATGAAGGAGGCTCATTATTTATCCTCGCGCTGCAGGTGGTCTGTTTAACTGTTTTCTCGTAGTAAAGTGATCAGTTTTTCCCCTTACAAAGTCCGCCATTTAAATAGCATATGTGCCAGGGCGCGACTGACTCTGATTGGGAGTCTCTGATTTATTTGATGCATGTTATTCTCAAAACACACCCATTACTCATTAAGAGAATAAGCACAAACCTGTTAGACCATGCGCCATGGCGCCAACCGTATTTTTGTCTGTTCTTAAAATAGCAAAAGTGGATTTGGACACGCCCTTAATGCTTTTGTACCATACACTTTAGACAAGGAGCCTTGATCATTAAAATAGAGCCCTAAATGTTTGTACATTGCCACAGTTTTTTAGTCTAGATTTGAAATAATTTAACATTAACATTATTATAATAAAACATTATTCTCCTTTTCTTTCAGAGATGACTTCAATATTAAGGTATTGCAGGCATTTGTGGATCTTCACGAGTTCACAGATCTGAACTTGGTACAAGCACTTCGGTAAATCATTAATTCTTTATTGCATATCTTTATCCTAAACAATTGTATCTTTGCTACTGTTCTGGATGTTTCTTTAAAGAGCATTTCTAGAAGCCGCTTGCTATTTTAGATTAATTCTGCATCGTCATGGTTAGTTTTGCAGTGTTTACACAGTATCTGTGTGCAGTGGTTGTTTTTATCACACTCTTGTTTTGTGAATGTTCACTACAGGCAGTTTCTGTGGAGTTTCCGCTTGCCAGGCGAAGCTCAAAAAATCGACAGGATGATGGAGGCCTTCGCACAGAGATACTGTCACTGCAATCCTGGAGTCTTCCAGAGCACAGGTCACACACACACACCACTTGTTTTTATACCCCAGTGGGGACTCTCCTGAAGTTGTTATATGTACGCTAGGAGTGTGGGATATTAAGTGTCTATGATAATATGGTAACTGTTGTTTTTATAATGTTCGCACCGATATCATGTCACTCGCAAAAAAATACACACTTCTTGAAAGTCCACAAGCATTAAATGTAAAAATCCTGCTAGAATGAGCCTGCAATTCAAGATATAAAAGCAGAAAGTGGCCTTATTTCAGTTATTGTATTTTATATAAAATTATATCAACAAACAACATTGCATTTTAGACAAACTATTGTGTTTTTGTCTACTGAAAAAATATTCAGAACAAAGCCTGTGCTGTTTCATTTCTAAATTAATCAATGTTTGAAAAATATTTTGATGATTTAGTGACTTATTCATAAACAACTGTTTTGAAATAATGGTTTTGAATGAAAGATGCATTGAATCGCTCATTAAGATGGCAATTGCTGCTACCTGCTGGTAGAGTTCTACTGATCATGTTTATTTATGATGACCGGTGTATCAGCAAAAAAAAATGTTAACAAAACTTGGTCATTTTACAGTTTTTTTTTGTCATTGTTGTTGATTTTGCACACTCCTAATGTAACAATATATTACAAAATGATCGTTGATCATGATAATATTTTATGCAAGATACGTATCGCAGATGTTTTTTTTTTATTTATTTATAGTAATTGCGGTTCTGTTTTTGGCTGGAGCAGCCCAAAGGAGAACACAGAGCTGAAAATATAGTCGAGATGAGGGAGTAAAATGACAACAGCCAATCAGAGTCAGAATATCTGATGTTCTTACTCATTCCTAGAGTTATAACGACTAAGGGGTCTATTTAGATGATCCATGCGCAAAGTCCAAAGCGCAGGGCGCAAATGCATTAAGGGCGTGTCAGAATCTACTTTTGCTATTTTAAGGACGGAAAAATCCACTTTGCGCCGTGGCGCATGGTCTAACAGGGTTGAGCTTGTTCTCTTAATGAGTTATAGGTGTGTTTTGAGAATAAACCAATCAGAGTCTCATCTCCCATTTCCTTTTAGTTGGTTATGTAGGCTCAAAAATAATACTTTTTGTAATATTTAAATTTTTTCGTTCTTTTTCATTTGTAAAGATATTTTGTTTTGCTGTACATCCTGTGTGTATTAAGCAATGTTATTAGTATTATTATTATTATGCAATGTGTAAGCGAGGGGCACAACTAACGCGCTCTGCACTGGACTTTAGACCTGATTTGATCTGGTCTATTGAACAGTCTATTTAATTTCCTCAAAATAGCAACACGCCTTCTTTTTTAGACCAGAACGCCTATGGGCGCACATATTAGCGCAAATGCATTTGCTATTTAAACAGCGTTGCGCAAAATGTCAAAACAACTCTTGCGCCAAGCTGAAACTAGCAAACAATTACGTCGCGCCTTGCGTTGCATTGCCCCGGGTGTATGATAGGGCCCTATATGTTTGCAACTTGACAGTTTTTGGTCAGATTTGGAATAAATTAGATCTAAAAATATCTTTTCCCTGATTGTTTTATTATTATATCATAATAAATAAATTATTTAAAAACATAGGTTATAAAATGATAGTATTTTTTGATACATCGTAAGAATTATCGTTATTTAAATACTCAACAACATCGCATAAGTGTAAAAACACAATAAGGCCTTTTTGCAAGACTGTTATGACGTGTTTAACAGTCATCATAATCTTAAATGCTTGAAAGTTTTTAATATTTAGATTTATTTATTTTATTTTTTTATGTATTTGCATTAATATGCATTACATGTGTATTATATTGTTGTTGCATCAAATTACAAAACATGAGTTACAAATTATGCAAGCCGTTTCTAATGCAATGTTTATGGGCAGGACATTAAATTTGACGTTGTTCCCTCTTTCGGCTGCTGTTACCAGTCTCACAATTTTTTTCCTTTTTCTGAAAGCCTTGATAACACCATCACAGAGTTTTTCTTTCATTATTTCAGCAAATAGGATTGTAAAAAAAAAATACTTGTTGCAGTATCACTTTCACTGCGCTCTAAGTTTACCTGCTATGACCAACTCCTCTCCTGAGAAACCTGGAAATGTAAAAAGGGTCAATAAAGGCAGAAGAGTTCAGTTTGTCAGAGCATTTTGTTGAACTCCATGCTTAACCTGTGTTCCCCTCACAGACACCTGTTACGTGCTGTCATTTGCCATCATCATGCTGAACACCAGTCTGCACAACCCCAACGTGCGGGACAAGCCCACGGTGGAACGCTTCATCAGCATGAACAGAGGCATCAATGATGGCGGAGATTTACCAGAGGAGCTGCTCAGAGTGAGTCTAAACACTGTTGATGTCTCCAGCCAGTAGTAGATATTCATTACACTAGGCTATTAAATAAAAACATCAGCAGTGTTGGGCAGTAGCGTCGCTACAAGTAGTAAGGCTACTAGCTTAACTGCATTGCTTAGGAATGTCGCTACTTTCTAAATCAAATAGTTTTCAGTAGCGAGGCTATTATTTTAAGCAAGTAGTGCAGTAGCATCCACACAAGCTACATTTACCGATCGTGGATCATTAAGTGACGCCACCGCCAGTCACAGAGCTGTGAAGCTGGTGTCTAGCCGATGAAAGTAAATCTATATGATCGGGAGATTGGTGAATTTTTCTTCTTTGTGTTTTATGCCTGTTGGAAACAAACTTTTTGGAAGGGTGCTGCTACCTCTTGCTTTGGTCGGTGACGTCACCAATTAACCATTGGGCTGACAGGAGAAACTTGCTTGATGGAAAGATGACTGTAGTGAAATTATTTTAGAAGCAGAACCATACAACAAACTACACTTTAATTTAGATGCTGTGCCCTTGTAAGAATTTGTTGAGTTTAAATGTGTATATATATATGTATGTATATATATATATATATATATACCGCAATGTATATATATGTGTGTGTGTGTGTGTGTGTGTGTGTGTGTGTGTATATATATATATATATATATATATATATATATATATATATATATGTATATATATATATATATGTATATATGTGTATGTATATATATATATATATATATATATATATATATATATATATATGCATACATAGTTGAAGTCAGAATTATTAGCCCCCCCCCCCCGTTTAGTTTTTATTTCTGTTTAACGAAGTGAAAATTTTTTCAACACATTTTTAAACATAATAGTTTTAATAACTCATTTCTAATAACTGATTTATTTTATTTTTGCCATGATGACAGGAAATAATATTTGACTAGATATTTTTCATGACACTTCTATACAGCTTAAAGTGACATTTAAAGGCTTAACTAGGTTAATTAGGTTAACTGGGCAGATTAGGGTAATTAGGCAAGTTAATGCATAACGATGGTTTGGTCTGTAGACTATCGGAGAAAAAAAATAGCTTAAATGGGCTAATCATTTTGACCTTAAAATGGTTAACAAAAAATGTAAAACTGTTTTTATTCTTGCCAAAATAAAACAAATAAGACTTTCTTGAGAAGAAAAAATATTATCAGACATACTGTAAAATTTTTTTTGCTCTGTTAAACATCATTTGGGAAATACTTCAAAAAAGAAAAACAATTCTAAGGGGGCAAGAAATTCTGACTTCAACTGTATATATATGTTCAGTGCTCAGCATATATAAGTACACCCCTCACAAATCTCTCTTTTAAATTCATATTTTTAATAGGAAGCTATGCAATGTTATGTTTGTACATTAGATTAGTCAGTGCTAAAGCCAATTCTGGAGCTAATGTAACAAAATAACTTACGTTAACGGTACAAAACTAGTACACCCAAATTTATATAGTATTGAAAAATAAAATTTAATACAAATTTAAAGAAGAGGAAAAGTCAAGAAAAGCAAAACAAATTTTAAAATTGTAATGTATTTGTGATATTTAGCTTGAAGTTTATTGTATTATTTTTCAGTTTTTAAATATGTTTGGTGACTAATATATTATGTATGATAAATAAATCTGTTTAATAATTCTTTTATTCAATTGCACTGAAATACATAGCCTATATTTACTGAGAAATGGATAAAAAAAGAAAAAAATATACTATACTACTATACTGTAGTATTTTAAATGTACAACACAGAGTTTCTTGAATTTTTATGTTTTATTGCAGAAAATAATTAAACATATATGCCACATGATTCATTGGCAGTTTTATTGATCACTAAGGCAGAACTGACTTGGATTGAAGTTGCTTCGATTTAAAAATAAAAAATGTGTAGCTTAGACGTCGCTAAGCTACTTTTGCCATGTTGCTTCTAGCTTAGCTTGCTACATTTCCCAGGGTAGCTTTTAGTGTAGTTAAGCTAGTAACTAATAGCTTAGCTCACTACATTTTCAAAGTAGCTTGGCCAACACTGGACATCTTTTTTGTGTGCGTTACAGTCAGTATTATTAGTTTTAATGATATCTATAAGCTAGAGACAAAATTTGTGTTTAGAAGATATAAAACTGATATAAACAACCAAAGCTTGCAGTTTGTCACTTCCGCCTTAAATGGATCAACGCTGAAATGAAAAATGAAGCGTCTTTCAGTTCTCTATTTTGATGGGTTTTTTTTTTTTAATGATGGCACATAATGCTCAATTAAACTAATATGCTTTAATAAACAATGTGTTTTTTGCAGAATCTGTATGATAGCATTAAGAACGAGCCCTTTAAGATCCCGGAGGATGATGGGAATGACCTGACGCACACATTCTTCAACCCGGACAGAGAAGGCTGGCTCCTCAAGCTGGGTGAGTTCCTAATGTCGTCTTCTCCATCTGTGCCGATGCATGATTTTTCTATGATCTCATCGCTGCGCTTTTGCACTTTTGTTTCCCCCCCAAAAAAACAAGCGAAATGTGTTTGGCTCTTCCAGAGATTGACTTTCTTTCTGCATGGCCAGCTCTGTGAACTTACTAAAAGCCTTTGAATCTGTTTTCCTCTCCCTGTGTGTCTCTTTCTCGTCTGCGTTTCTGTTTCCTGTGGTTCGTTCCCCCTTTTTTCCGATCTCTTCTGGCTCCTGCTCTGCTTGACCTGTGATTTCTCTGCTGATGCTGGTGATGACGTTCACTCTTCAGGAGGTACGTACAGCCTTTCTTGTCTACTAAAACATCTCACAGAATGGCTGCATGTTTGCGCAGCAACATTGTTATTGTAGTGGGTATAGTTGCAAAATATATCATTTCAGCATCGATATCCACAAAGTGCTCATCCATAATAGTCACATTGCAGGATATGCAATGTTGACACTACACACCGTCTGTTGTTGAGCACGAGCATAGAGCGCCACCTGCTGTTAAAAACTAGCCTAGAGTACCATCTGCTGTTAAACATTAGCCTGTAGCACGGTTTGTTTTTAAACACTAGCTTAGAGCGTCATCGCTGTTTAAATTAGCCTTGAGCACTATCTGCTGTTAAACACTAGCCTAGAGTGCGCCGTCTTCTGTTAATCTAGCCTAAAGGACACCATCTGCTGTTAAAATCTACCCTAGAGCGCACTGCCTGCCGTTAAAGACTAGCCTAGAGTGCACTGCCTGCTGTTAAAAAGTAGCGTAGAGCACATTACCTGCTGTTAAACACTAGCCTAGGCCACACCATCTGCTGTTAAAAATTAGCCTAGAGTGCACCATCTGCTGTTAAAAACTAGCCTAGAGCACCGTCTGCTGTTTAAAACTAGCCTAGAGCGCCGTCTGCTGTTAAAAACTAGCCTAGAACACCGTCTGCTGTTAAAAACTAGCCTAGAACACCGTCTGCTGTTAAAAACTAGCCTAGAACACCGTCTGCTGTTAAAAACTAGCCTAGAGCGCCGTCTGCTGTTAAAAACTAGCCTATAGCGCCGTCTGCTGTTAAAAACTAGCCTAGAGCGCCGTCTGCTGTTAATAACTAGCCTAGAGCACCGTCTGCTGTTAAAAACTAGCCTAGAGCACCGTCTGCTGTTAAAAACTAGCCTAGAGCGCCGTTTGGTGTTAAACACTAGCCTAGAGGTCTATCTGCTGCTAAAAACTAACCTACAGTGCTGTCTACAGATAAAAACAAGTCTACAGCGCCATCCACAGTTAAAACTAGCCTTAAGCGCTTGACCTAGAGCGCGCCGTCTGCTGTTAAACACTAGCCTAGAACGATGTCTGCTGGTAAAAATTAGCCTAGAGCCCCGTCTGCTGTTAAAAACCAGCCTGGAGTGCTGTTTAGTGTTAAACACTAGCCTAGAGGTTTATCTGCTGCTAAAAACTAACCTACAGTGCTGTCTACAGTTAAAACTAGCCTAAAGCGCTTGACTTAGAGCGAACCGTCTGCTGTTAAAACTAGCCTAAAACATGTCTGTTGTTAAAAACTAGCCTATAATGATTTCTGCTGTTAAAAACTAGCCTAGAGCTCCAGCTGCTGTTAAAAACTAGCATACATAGCCGTCTGCTGTCAACAACTAGCTTACTGCGCCGTCTGCTGTTAAAAACTAGCCTCGAGCGTTGTCTGCTAGGTTAATTCACCCAAAAATGAGAATTCTGTCATCATCTACTCACCCTTGTTTCAATCCTTATGAGTATCTTTCTTTTGTTGAACACAAAATAAGATATTTTGATGAAAGCTGGAAACCTGTAACCTTTGACTATCATAGTTGTTTTTCTACTAAGGAAGGCAATCGTTTCAGTTTTTCAGCATTCTTCAAACTTTCTTATTTTGTTCTAATTTCAACAGAATAAAAAAAACTCCTAAAGGTTTAGAACCACTTAAGGCAGAGTAAAGAGTGAGTAATTTTGAATTTTTAGGTTGAACTCTTTGAAACTAGTGCCATCTACCGTAAAAGACTAGTTGTAAAAGTAACATGGTATTTGAGCGGGAAAACAGAATGCATTAGTTTCTTTTTTTATTAATTGTTGTTAATCTTCAATTGTTGTTAAATTCAAGAAAGAGCTCATTGAAGCAAGACGACACAAGAAATGATTGATGTTTTAAAAACACATTTGTAATCATGTGATCTTCTTCAGGAGGTCGAGTAAAAACATGGAAGAGACGATGGTTCATTCTGACAGACAACTGCCTCTATTACTTTGAGTACACAACGGTAAGGCCAGAACAAAAGAGATCTAATGCAACTTAATACAAACCTCGATAAAACACTACTGTGCAAATAAACAATATATTAATGTATCACTAGTGGTGTAAAGGATCACAAATCTCACAGTTCGGATACATTATAGTTTTTTGAACACGAATCGGACCATTTTACCGATCAGCCAAAAAGGGGAGGAGACAAATGTAATCTGCTTTTCATTTATTACAAAACCAGCACTGCAGGAAACTTTTGACTTTAACAAAGTGAACTGAGAGCAGGTAATTTTATTAAAAATACAATGAAGAAATAATCAGCTGAATAAAAATAAACTGTAAAATATTTTGTGCTGTGAAAAATTCAGTTACTCCTACTGTTGCTAATAACGCTAAAACAATTTGTACAACCCACATTTCTATTTTAGTCTTATTTTCAATAAATAATTTAGTTATTCACTCCTAAAACTTCAGGTTTCATTGCTACATGGATCATTTTTGAAGAATTATTCAGTGACTTTTTTTGGCTGGTTGTCTCCACCTATTGGTTAAATAATATAATTGCTGACTACAACTTTGATTTTTGAGCGTCAAGTTAAATGCATATGACAGTGATTTTAATCTTTAACATAAACATCAGTGGTTATATCTAAACTATAAACGGTTATCCCAGTAAATCAGTGTAATTTGACAGTAAACTAAAGACTGAATCTCCTTCTTGATTTTTGCGCTTTTTAAACACAGATGTGAATGCAGCGGTCCGAAAGTTTAATAAACATTTGCAAATCATCATTATTTATAATTTATGTTGCATCAGTGCAAAGATTCCAATCTTTTAATGATTAATGGTGCAGCTTAGGGTTGTCTCAATACTGGAATTCAATACCAATCGGTACTGAAATTTCAAAAGTGCAAACTGGAGTGTTTCAAAGTCGCACCGATCAGCTGGTTTGTATAAGCTGACATATGAGTGATCCGCTGATGCATCGTGGCTTTGAAACGCTCCAGTGTCCCTGTATCTGTGGTTACATGCAGTAAACCAGGGGTCACCAATCTTGGTCCTGGAGGGCCGGTGTCCCTGCAGGGTTTAGCTCCAACTTGCCTCAACACACCTGCTTCGATGTTTCAAGTATACCTAGTAAGACCTTGATTAGCTTGTTCAGGTGTGTTTGATTAGGGTTGGAGCTAAAATCTGCAGGACACCGGCCCTCCAGGAACAAGTTTGGTGACCACTGCAGTAAACAGTGGTGAGTTTGGTGAACCGATCACCTTCACGGCCAATCACAGTCATTTCAGTTGAACATGTGCACACAACGGCAAATCAGTGCTGTTTAAGAACGTGCTCCACAGCGACCAAATGTTTACGGGAAATGGATGCTTTTAAAATTTCAGTACCAATTGGTATCCAACTCCAGTATCGAGACAACCCTAATGCAGCTTACACTGAATGCATTAATGCAGGCTTAACAAGTAGTGACAGAAAACACCTTTAATAACCTAAGAAACCCACCACATCCAGAATAACCTACCACAACTTCTTGTGTCATAATTATGTTTTACAGGAAACCCTAAATGCTTTTATACATGTGATTTGAATTATGCAAGAGACGATCTCTCTGCGATCGTTAAAATTTTTTTAAAGTAAAAAAATAAATAAAACTTAAGCCAGGGGTCACGTGTGTTTTGAACTGTTGGTTGTGATCCATTACACCCCTATTTATTACACAAGGCAGAATAAGTAAATGAACATATCTGACTTGTCGGTCTGTGTGTGTTTTTCTTTGTGTGTGTGTGTGTTTGTGTAGGATAAGGAGCCCAGAGGCATCATTCCACTGGAGAATCTGAGCATTCGTGAGGTTGAAGACCCGAGAAAGCCAGTAAGTTTGCTGATCTTTTCATTCATCAATGATAAAAGTGCTGTCACCTAGCTCTACTGTATTATATTTGCTTTATTTATAAGATTTTTTTAAGCAAGACAACCATGTTATTGCTTTCCCGTAAGAACATGTACTGCAGTTCATGTTTTATCTCCAAATGTTAAAAATTCTTAAAAGCATAAATAAATCAGAACATTATAAATCAAAGTTAGAAAGATAGCCTCTAGTTACTGAGTATAAATGACGAAGTTCAAGATAAATGCACCAAAACATTTCAGATCTTTGAGGTAATTTTTCAGTGGTTAAAGTGTCGCCTGCCTCAACGTTTCTGTACAGAACTGCTTTGAGCTCTACATCCCGAATAACCGCGGTCAGCTGATTAAAGCCTGTAAGACGGAGGCTGATGGTCGAGTGGTGGAGGGAAACCACATGGTGTACCGGATCTCTGCTCCCACCCCAGAGGAGAAGGACGAGTGGATACACAGCATCAAGTGAGGGATTTCTCAGCATCTTGGTTGACTAAACTTGCATTTACGGCAACATCATTCACACCGACCATAGTGCAAACTTTCATTTAGCCTCTGATAGACGTTTGAAATATATTTGCATTTCCTGATGCTGTTATCAGCATATGTGCTGGAGCGGGACAAAGAGGCTCCTTCAGGGTACAAGAACAAAAGATATGCACATTTGAAATGTAAATTTTGGGCTCACAAGAAATCCGATATGGCCTCTCTCAACATAATGCTGAAATACAGTATATTTGGCAAGGAGGAAAAAAAACCTTATAAATTAGCACTGATCATTATAGCATTTAAATTTGTATTTAGACTGAAACAGTTCATTCAACATTTAGTCAAAATATTTTAAAAGTCTAAATTAGCATTTTTGGTTTTTTATTGTTAATGTTTACTGTTTCATATACAGTTGAAACCAGAAATTTACATACACTGTATAAAAAAGGCACATAACCATTTTTAAAAAAAGCAGATGTTAGTGTGACTTAACTTTTTCTCTTTAAGGTAAGTTAGGATTATCACATTTGTTTCTGTTATGCTTAATAGCAGAATAATAACAGATATTTTTTGAGAAATTGTTATAACTTTTCTTAAAGGTCAAGTTTACATACAATAAGATTATTCTGCATCTGAATAAGCTCAGATGATGGTGTCATGGTTTTGGAAGTTTCTGATTGGCTAATTTACAGCATTTGAGTTTATTGAAGGACCAACTGTAAAATAGTATTTAAAGGGCCATGACACCCCCCACTTTCGGTTAAAGTCTACTTCAGAATTTTTTCAAAAGATGCATGATTAATGGGCGTGGAGATCCGCGAGCATAGGGCAGGAGTGGGCGTGGCCAGCAGGGGAAAAGGGGAGCGAACAATTGTTGTTGACAACTCACAAAATGAGACAAACCGTGAGGAGAAGCATGAGTTTATAGTTTACAACGTTAAAGTGCAAAGAAATAAACAGTAATTTAATGCCCTGCTACATTTGTTATTTGTAATTTCATATACACATAACCACAATTTATATCATTATAAAGATACGTGTGTTCATGTAAACATTATAAATGAGTATTCTCCCTCGATCCCCGGGTCTATTATAGATCTGAATGCAGACTCAGTGCAGCAGGTCTCCTGACCTGTCTATTTTAACCATTAGCCCTGCTGGTAGTATAGAGGATTTAGGCAAACACAGCAGCACGGCTATGTGTCTGCATGTGAACGAACTCCTGATAAAAGTCAACGTCCGCCATTATTCAATTCTCACACTGCTCTCCTGACAAAAATGCTTGCAGCACACACACAGCTTTGCTGTATGATCGGCCCTGACAAGATCGCGGGGATAAAACATGCAACAAACCCTGTGGATCATGGAAACAAACACATCCGAGCCTTCATGGGCGGCTACTGCGTCCCGTTGGTCTGTGTCTCACAGCTTGCTTGAAACTGGCAGGTCTGCCTTCGGAATGCACATGCTCTCATGAATAATTAAGCAGCCGGCTCTTCTCATAGGATAAGAAAACTCCGCTATGAATAATAATGAGAAACCGACGCATCATCATTGCACTTGCAGTTCTGCGCTACGTCGCCGATTTTGATTTCGATTTTCCCGCCCCAAATATCATTTTAAACCCGGAAGCTGAAATTAGCTGACAAAAGCTCAAAATTATCCAGTTTTCCCCACAATTAAAGCTGACAGGTGCTAACATTGTCTTAACTGATGCTCAACACTAACAAATCTGTTAAAATAAAATAAAAAAGCTCTCCAGGGTGTCCTGAACCTTTAAGGAAAACCTCAAACACACTGCTTCCTTTTGTGACAACATGAGAAAATCAACAAGCCAGAATCAACAAAAAAGCCAGATTACAGTTAGCTAAATTACACTGGGAAAAAGACTAATTTTTGGAAACGTCCTGTGGTCTGATGGAGCTAAGATTGAACTGTTTGACCATAATGACTAGTGTTACATTTGGAGGACAAAGAGGAAAACTTACAAGCCTAGGAACATTATACTGACCTGTTTGAGGAAAACCATTAGTTTATTGTATCACCACTTGATTTTTGTGTTTTTATTTGAGTATTTTAGATGTACAATGTAGACTTCAAGAACATTATTATATTAATATTGCATAAATGAATGTATCAAAATGTATCAAGCCGTGTTTGTAAAATTCTGGCAACCAAAGCTGCAATTATTTTTCAGTAATCCTTTCTGTGTTTTTATGTGGTCCTGTGTGAAAAGTGACCTGATCTTGTTTGTCTTGCAGATCTGCTGTGAGTGTTGATCCTTTCTACGAGATGCTAGCTGCCAGAAAGAAGCGCATTTCCCTAAAGAAAAAGGAAGAGCAACCCTAAAAACTCCTCTATTCCTCCTTTATCATTCCATCCACTTCCTTCATTCTCCATCAAACCAATGATCGTTCATTAAGGTAGCTCTCATCCTCTCATCAGAAGAATCATGATGTTGGATGTCTTTCCCGAACCTGAACGTCACCTGTGCTTTGCATTCAGGTGGTCTGGACTGCACAGTTTTCTTATATTCACACTACACAGTGTTATTCACTATCACACTATAGTCACTTCCACACTGTATTATGCGTACATTCCATAAGACTTCACTGAGAAACCTAACATTCAGGTGTTAATGTGTGCAGAGCTGAGGCGTAAAAGTCTTTCTAGATTTCAAAATGTATCACTGGTCTCTCGTGAACCAATTCTGAGGTTAATTTTTAACAGTAGATTGCGCTCTTGGCTAGTTTTTAACAGCAGATTGTGCTCTAGGCTCGTCTTGAACAGTTCCTATCTAGTTTTTAACAGCAGGTGGCGCTTTTGGTTAGATTTTAAGAGCAGACTGAGTTCTAGATCGCCACTTGCTGTTAAAAACTAGCTTAGAGCTGTTAAAAACTAGCCTAGAGCTGTTAAAAACTAGCCAAAAGCACGGTTTGCTGTTAAAAACTAGTCTAAAGCCTATCTGCTGTTAGCTTAGACTAGTTTTTGACAGCAGACAGTGCTTTTGGTTAATTTTCAAGAGCTCTAGGCTAGTTTTTAACAGCTCTAGGCTAGTTTTTTTAACTGCTGACAGTGGTCTAGGCTTGTTTTCAACAGCAGACGGCGCTTTAGGCTAGTTTTTAACAGGTCTAGGCTAGTTTTTAAAAGCAGACAGCCCTCTAGGCTAGTTTTTAACAGCAGATGGTGCACTAGGCTAGTTTTTAAAAGCAGACAGCACTCTAGGCTAGTTTTTAACAGCAGATGGTGCACTAGGCTAGTTTTTAACTGCTCTAGGCTAGTTTTTAACATCAAGCGGCGCTCTAGGCTAGTTTTTAACAGCTCTAGGCTAATTTTTTAACTGCTGACAGTGGTCTAGGCTTGTTTTCAACAGCAGACGGCGCTTTAGGCTAGTTTTTAACAGCTCTAGGCTAGTTTTTAACAGCAGACAGCACTCTAGGCTAGTTTTTAACTGCTCTAGGCGTGTTTTTAACAGCAAGCGGCGCTCTAGGCTAGTTTTTAACAGTTCTAGGCTAGTTTTAACTGCTGACAATGCACTAGGCTAGTTTTTAACAACTTTAGGCTAGTTTCAACAGCAGACAGCACTCTGGGCTAGTGTTTTCACTGCTCGAGGCTAAGTTTTAAACAGTAGATGGCTCTTTTGGGTAGTCTTTTTAACAGTTCTAGGCTAGTTTTGAACAGCAGGTGGTGCTTTTGGCTATTTTTTAACATCAGATAGGGTTCTTGGCTATCTTTTAACAGTTCTAGGCTAGCTTTTAAAAGAAAACTGTGCTATTTGCTAGTCTTTAACTGCAGACCATGCGGTACGCTAGTATTAACAACACATTTTAGGTTTATTTGCTGTTTAACACTATAGCCTGGAGCGTCACCTGCTGTTAAAAAAACTAGCCTAGAGCATCGTGTGCTGTTAAGAACTAGCCTAAAACAGCTTTTGCTGTTAAAAACTAGCCTAGAGCACCATTAGCAGGTTAAAAATTAGCCTAGAGTGCCATCTGCTGTTAAAAACTAGCCTAGAGCACCGCCAGCTGTTAAATAACTAGCCTAGAGCGTCGTCAGCTGTAAAAAAAAAAAAAAAAACTAGCCTAGAGCGCCATATGCTGTTAAAAACTAGCCTATAGCGCCATATGTTGTTAAAAACTAGCCTAGAGTGCCATCTCGTTTCAAACACGAGCCTAGGGCGCAGTCAGCTGTTAAAAACTAGCCTAGAGCTTAAATAGGAGTCTCAGAATAGGGGTCAAGACAGAACTGAAATCTCTGAAAGGATTTTTCAGCACAGCTCAAAATGTGCATCACATTTCCTTCTTCTTCCTCCTCTTTTCACTCATTGACCGACCGCCGCTCCTGCTATTTACAGCATTTACTGTGAAGTTCTTACACAAACAGGGTAGACGACCAAACAGCCTGATGTTTCTTCATCACCATCACCATCGTCATCAGGGACGGATATAACTGAGCCTTTAGTGGAAATGAGCAGAAAGTCTCGTTCACAATGAAGCCTTTTGTTTATTCAGTCGCTGCTGATTTACTGCGTCTATTCGGAGTTATTTAATCTTAACTGACACTATTTATCTCTTCTACATTTGAGTTTATTTACATGCTGTAAATGAAGATGTAAATGAAGGTCATTGCTGTTTAAACCACATATCAAGAGACTTTTGAGTTAAAGAGTTCACCCAAAAATGAAAATCTCCTCATTATTTTTTCACATATTTCTTTCCGTTGAAGACAAAGGTAGATATTTTGAAGAATGCTGGAAAAATTGACAGGAGCAACAATTTCTATAGAAGTCAATGGCTGTTTTGTCCAGCATTCTTCAGAATATCTTCCTTTGTGTTCAAGAGAAGGTTTAAAACAAGTGGAGGATGATGAAGTTATTACAATTTTCTTTTTTGGATGAACTGTAGCTTATTCAATTAATTAATTAGCTACATATCATTTGAAAATCACCTGTGTAATATTGGTTTAGATGTGATAAACATGATAAACATGTTGATGAACTTCACCAGCCCATCAAAGCATCTGTAGAAACGCATCTCATGATGTCATTCCACACAAAGCTCCTTCATTATTGAGAAAAGAGCCTTAAAGTTTCCCGCAGCCCTGTTTCTGAATGTTCGTACTAGTGTTTCAACTAAACAAACTAGGTTTGGATGGATAACCTTAAAGGGACTGTTCACCCAAAAGCTGAAAATTCTGCCTCATCCTCCTGTTCTTTTTCCCTGTTGAACACAAAAGAAGATATACTGAGCTATTGACTTCAGTTGTATTTTGTTTATTACTACAATTAAAGTCAATGCCCCCCAGCCCCACAACATTCATCAGAGTATCTTGTTTTGTGTTCAACAGAAGAAATAAACTCAAAGTTTTGAGTTATGAGTAAATGATGGCCTTAATGATGCCTTTTAAACAAAACATTGTCATAAAAATATGATTATATTGCTATGTTTAAAAGAAAAAATGAAAGAAATTGAACCGTTTAATCAAATTTTCCTTCATATGCGTCTACTTTGGCAGAAAGAAATCTAATTTATGGAATCGTTTACAAAAAGATCTCATTTGGTAGCATTTGTGTTAACTCAGTGTTTCCCTTCTCTGTTCCTAGAGGCACACAGACTACATATTTTGGATGTCTCCCTTATCTCACCCTTTAACTTAAGCATTGGCGTCTCTTCTAATGTTCTGATGAGTTGATTCAGGTGTGTTTGATTAGGGAGTGGTTGAAAATGTGCACTGCTGGTGTGCCTTCAGGAACAGTGTTGGGAAAACACTGCATTAACTAACATGAGCTAACATTAAAAATGTGTTTTTATGCATCATTGATTTAATCTTTGCAGAACAGCTCATCATTGCCTCGTCCTCCCTTTCTTTCTTCCGTTGCACACAAAGGAAGATATACCGAGCCGTTGACTTTTGTTTATTACTACTATGGAAGTTAATGGCTGTTTTTCCCCCTAACATTCTTCAGAATATCTTGCTTTGTGTTCAACAGAAGAAAGAAAGCCAAAAGTTTTGTACCACTCGAGTAATGAGTAAATGATTGCCTTAATGATGCCTTTTAAACAAAACATTGTCATAAAATATGATTATAATGCTATTTTGAAAGAAAAAATGAAAGCAATTGAACAGTTTAATCAAATTTCCCTCCATATGCGTCTAGTTTGGCAGAAAGAAATCTAATATATGGAACCGTTTACAAACAGATCTCATTTGTCAGCATTTGTTGAAGTGTTTCCCAACCCTGTTCTTAAAGACACACCAACAGTACAAATTTTGTTGGATGTCTCCCTTATCTGACCCATTAACTTTAGGTTTTGGAGTCTTTTCTTGTCTTCTGAGTTCTTTCAGGTGTGTTTGATTAGGAAGAGGTTGAAAATGTGTACTGTTGGTGTGCCTGCAGAAACAGGGTTAGTAATATTGCACTAACCAACATGAGTTAACAATAAAAGCTATGCGTTCTAATGTTAACTTAAAAACAGCAAATTATTTAATAATAACAGATACAACTTTTGACTTTAGTAATGTTTCGTAAATGTTGAAATTAGGATCGATCAGTGCCACAGAAGTATTGTTTGTTGTTAACTAATGCACTTAACAGATGTTAACAAATGAGATCTTAGAATAAGCCCTCTATTTCTTCATCATTTGTGATGAAATTGGACTGATTTGGTGCAATTCGCTCAGCTTTTTTTTCTGTGCCACTGTCAATGATTTATATTTGCGAAGGCAGAAAGTGATGTCTGCAGTTTATCCTCTGAAATGAGAGCAGTTTTTGTGCCTCAAATGTGTGCAAAGGTGGCCTGTTTTGTTGCTTGTCTGAAACACTAGATACTCCCTCTTACTCAGTGCTGTTCAGTTTGAAGGAGTCCATGGCAGCTTTTTTTCCAAATGTACATTATATTTTGCCTTTTCTGTTTGTAAATACATGTTGTTATGTTTGTTTACAACACATATTGATAGCATTTTCTTTAATTTATTGTTCTTCAATTCTTTCTTTATGTGAAATAAGGGTCGTATGGAAGCTTGTTTTCACCACAGAATTAAAAAATAAATGGTCATTGCAGCTTTTTATCTCCCAAATGATTATTTTTTTTTGTTTGTTTTTTCAGAATTGTATTTTTGTATTTCAAACTTGTGAAAAAACAAAAGTCAATCTTTGAAAATTGTTTTGTTAATTTGTTTTGTTTTGTTTGAAATACAAAGTTGCAAGTCTAAAAAACAAAACTAACAAAATTATTTTGCTGGGTTTTTTATTTATTTATTTATTTTTGCTTTTTTTTTAGAATTGCAACTTTGTATCTCAAATTTCTGAAAAACAAAACAAACAAAGAAGAATTAGTTGTTTTTATTTGCGTGTTTTATTTTATTCAGATTTGCAACTTTATAACAAACTTTAAAAAACAAAACAAATAAAAAATGTTAATATTTAAAAATTGTATTGTTAGTTTGT